GGAGAGCCTTTGTTGCTTCTCAAAGTTCCTTAAGGTCCTGCTTTGACATGCTAAGTCTAAGCTTAATGGCCAGAGAAATATGTCTTCTAGAACTCCAGGAACCATATTTTAATAATTACCAAGAGTGCCCCTTACAAGCCCTTTTTATTTGCTGGGCACTGTGCTGAGTGCTTTTGTCATAGTGAAAAACTAGTATATCTCTAAAAGGTGTTGCCCAGCACGAACAGGACAGGAGCATGGATGTCTAAGGTGTTTGGTCACTGGGGACACTTAGTTTGAAGAAGCAGAGACTGTGGGAAAGTTATATTTGCACGACTGAAGCGTTGTGCTAAGAGAGACAAAGTTCCAGAAGACAGAAATTACATCTGCAGGTAGGTATTTCAAGGAAATTGATTCGACTTCGTTTGAGAGAGAACTGTCCAACAGCTAGAGCTCTTCTATATAGGAGTTTCCCAGGGAGAAGTAACTTCCTGTCCCCAGATTCAGAGATAGCATCCATCTGAAAGGTTGTAGAAGGAATTCTTACATCAGGGCAGAGATCAGACTCGTTGACACTGAGTTCCCTTTGACTTGGTAAGATGTTACTGTTCTTTGAGTTGGGGGGTTAGGTGGAGCTCCTTACTGTAATCACTTACATTTACTCCATAGTGAAGGCCTCTGCCACCGCCTTCAAATACTTGTCTACACCTCTGTTGCACTGATGCCATCCTTCCCAGCTTATGACTGTTTCAAACTAAGATTTATTTGAAAAATTACAGAGAGCATAAGTAAAAATTTCCCCATGGGGTAGGCAGGCAGACAGCAGACGGTATTTGGTGAATCCTGTTAATGATGGGACCTGGAAGAAGGTGGCACTGGTCAGTCTGTGGTCAGGCTTGTGGTTCAGAAGAGATTGGCTGGTGTTGCTGCCATTGTGCTGAGCATGGGCCTAGAGTCAGGACTGCCTTTATCACTAGACACCTGCACAGGCTACTGCTGAGTCTCCCTTCATGGGGAAGCTTGTGGTTCACTGGCTGGCGGGGATGGGCATGGGTCCGGGTCCGCTGGGTGGGAATATTATTCTTCCTTGGGTGTCCAGAGTCATTCCTAGGCCTGTAGTACAGTGCTTCCGGGCCTATGGATGGGTCATGCTTCATGGCAACATTGATTTTATGTTTATTTGTGAAGGGACAGAATATGAGATTACCAAATAAAATATAATTTCAAGTATTATTAATGAAAGAATATATTACATTCACCTTTAATGAGATCCTCATGTTGCAAAATGATTCCATGTAATGAATCCCAGGAAATCAATGAAAAGTTTAATTACAGTTGTGGCAGTGCCGTATGAGAATATTGCTTTGGTCAATTTTACTTGTACAATTTATCAATCCTCTCTGCCTTTCTCTTTCTTTAAATTAATTGCTTCGATGAAGTAAGTATAAATACATTCTTTGTTAGCTTTTGATATTTTTTAGAAATGTGTTACAAAATTCAAATTTCCTCCTCTACAATAATAATAATATTATAATAATAGCCCCTATCATTTTTTTTATGTGTATTACCACTTACAATTTGTATATTTTAAAATTTGGCAGTATTTGCATTTTTTAAATGTAGTCATTGTTTTATTTTACTAAAACATTGTCCTTTTCCCTTTGTCAGTTTTTCAAAAGGCACTTTCTATCTCTTCTCAACTTATCAGTTGACCCGTTAGTCAGAAATTTGATGTGCTTTCTGTATTGTTCATCACTCAGTCAAGCTCTAAGATGAATAAAAAGAAAACAACATACTTTCTCCTCTGAATTAATGGTTTTACTTTCGTGTAACTACATACCCTTTTTGATTTTAAACAAAGTAAATTGTCTTTTTATAGCATTTTTATTTTGACAGTCTGGTGATTATGGTGCTATCTTGTCCACTGTGGTGGTAATTGATTTTTTAAATTTGTTTGTAAAGCACAACACAAAATGTTGGTCTGGATATTTAGAGATATCCAAAGGAGTTCTTTATTTTGGTGACTCTTGATTTTACTAATTATGTATTAGTAATTATGTATTGAGTAATTATAATATATAATTATATATATTAAGTATATATATAACGTATAAATATAATATAAATATAATATATAAATATAATGTAATATATAAATATAATTAGTAATTATGTATTGAGAAAGTTATTGTGGATTTCCTATGCTCTTTTAGTTACCATAGTTGTTTATAAGCAGCCTACATTTGTATTAAGGTTCAAGGCCTTAAAATAGAATCAAGAATTATTTTGACTGATTTACTCTATCGACAAAAGAAGTTTACTTATTTCGTTTTGAGAGGGAAACCCCTGCGGTTTCTTTTCCCTCAAATTCTCCTGGTGACGCCATCAATCTTTCTTCGTGGGTGGTGGCATTCTTCTGATACAACTGAGAAGTAGCCTGGGTGTGAAGGATTTTTTGTCTAGTCCTGGGTTGTCACTACACACAGGGCATATGTGAGGCATTGCCTAACCCATCTGGAGAGTTGCAGGGTTGTGCAGAACAAGATAACTCTCATTCTAGAAGGCCAGCCTGCCTATGAGGCTTTGCAGTTTATGGGCTGGTGATCCTAAAGAATGAAAAAGCCTCTTCAGAGAAGGGTGCTGTTTGAGTATGCTAAAAGGAGTTTTGTTGTTTGCTCTAAAAATGGTGCTTCTCTTGATGATCATTAAATATGATCAGGTGTGGTTAAATGAACCATTACAGGAGAGGCTGTTCTTTCCATGTTGCACATGGGTAAAATGTCCTTTTATATGCACCTGCAACTACTGTTTTCAAAGCCTGGAATCACTATGGCATTTTCTTTGTCACATAAGTTGTTATAAAAGTTTCTTCTAGGATGTTTTCTTTGAAATAAATAGTCTTTTTTTTTTCTTTTTTGAGGAAGATTAGCCCTGAGCTAACCTCTACCACCAATCCTCCTCTTTTTTGCTGAGGAAGATTGGCCCTGAGCTATCGCCTGTGCCCATCTTGCTCTATTTTATATGTGGGATGCCTGCCACAGCATGGCTTGATAAGTGGTGCTAGGTCTGCGCCTGGGATCCAAACCCTGGGCTGCTGAAGTAGAGTGTGCAAACTTAACCCCTGCGCCACTGGGCAGGCCCCATAAGTATTCTGTCTTTGATTGCTGGCCCTGTGTCCATGTGGTTTTTTGCTGCTGCTGGCTGTACTTATATGAAATTGTGTTCTGACCTATAGTGCTGTATGTAGGCCAGTGCAGGCTGTGCCCCGGAGCAGAGGAGAGGGGCGCGAGGAAGGCCTCCGCGGTGGGAGAGCCGTGAGCGAGCTAGAGAGGGGCGCGAGGAAGGCCTCCGCGGTGGGAGAGCCGTGAGCGAGCTAGAGGGGCATGAGGCGCGCTTCTATGGAGGGGAAAGTGCGTGTTTGTATTTCAAGTGCAGTGTCAGAGTGATAGCATCTGGCTACATTTTAAAAATATCGTTCTAGAGAAGAACAGGGTGGCAGTGAGGAGACCAGTTAGGGAGGAGGCCCTTGCAGTTGTCCGGGCAAGATAATGGCTTGGACTAGATCAAGGTTTCTTAACCTCAGCAGTATTGACATTTTGGGCCAGAAAATTCTTCAGTATGCGGGTCTGTCATGTGCACCATAGAATGTTTAGAAGCATCCCTGGCCTCTCTCCACTAGAGGACAGCAATGTCTGCCCCCTCCAGTTCAGACAAACAAAAATGTCTACCGGCTTTGCCAAATGTCCCATGGGGCACAGAACCACGCCTGGTTGAGAGCCGTTGGACTGGTGGTGATAGAGATGGGTTTGAAATGCGTTGTGGAGGTAGAACAGACAGTACTTGGCAATAGATGAGAGGTAGAGAGGGTGAGAAAGGAGAGACTCCTAGATGGTTGGCTTAAAAATCTAGGCAGATGGTGTCACACATACGTTAGACTCTTGACATTGGTCTTTTTTGCCCTGTGCCTGTTCTTGGAATTATCCAGCCACTTGTAGTGTTACCCATCCCACCATCCTCCTCTTTTTCTTACATCCCATCCTGAGGGTCCAGCTGAAATGCCATCTTCTTGAAGCCTTCCCTGATTAAGCCACAAGTGCTGACCCTTTTTCCAGTGAACTCCTACAGCCCTGTGTCAGTACCACTCTTAGACACTTTCTGACCCTGTCAGCTTCTGTGAACCCCCAGAGAAGAAAGACCAGGCCCTACAGAAAAGGTGCAGCCTGGGGGATGCTTGAATTGCATGGCCTTGCCCTGCACCTTGCCTCTTTGTTCCTGTTGGTGGCTTCAGGATTATCGTCTCCTTCCAGTCATCGTCTAATCATCTTCTGGCCCCCAGGACCATCGTCTGTAACGGGGAGTCCCTCCACACAAGTTGCCTGGAGCTTGTCACAGAATTGGTACCCTTATTGTTTGATGCCTTGTATTATAGTTATTAATGTATGTCTCTCATCGCCTTGTCAAATAAATTCCCTGAGAGCAGGAATGAGACCTTATATACCTTTATCCCATATAATGCCTAATGCCTAGCGTAGTAACGATCATGAATTAGGTATTCAGTAAATGTTTGTTGAATGAATAAGTAAATGATTGAATCTGAAATACCAACCTTAATTTTTACTCGAGTATAATGGAGTTAAATCTATAATGAACATATGTAATTTGTATAATCAGAAAATTTTTTTGCTTTTCTTTTTTTTCTTTTTTGCTGAGGAAGATTTGCCCTGAGCTAACATCTGTGCCAGTCTTCCTCTATTTTGTATGTGGGTCACCACCACAACATGGCCACCAATGAGTGGTTAGTTCCACATCTGCGAACTGAACCTGGGCTATTGAAGTGGAGCATGCTGAACTTAACCACTAGGCCATGGGGCCTGCTCCTTGATTTTTTTAATGAAAGATCAGCCTGTAGTCTGTGTTATTAATGTAATCAATTGGCGTATGTGGGAGATGGCTTGTTTTTGGCTTTTATGGTCTGGAGCCTGCGTTGGTCATGTGATATCTGCTCTGTTTCTGTATTGCAGCTCTTGTCGTCAGCACCACCTCAGCTGGGTTTGCGCTAGCTCCGGGACCTTTCGACTGGCCCTGTTTCCTGCTTACTTTGCTCGGGACAGGCCTTGCGTCCTGTGCTGCCAACTCCATCAATCAGGTCAGTCTGTCACCTTTAAGCTGGGTCATGATATCATTACTTGTTCCTGGACTGTGGTACTAATGCATTTACAAAAACCTTCCAGAATCGTATATCTAGATGGAGAGGTGCCATGAACTTGTAACACTGTCTGTCCTCTAGAAGCCTGCGGGCTGCATAACCAGTTTGTCTTTGCTTTGGAGTGAATGGTTTTCAGATCTGTTCAGGTGAGGGAGCAATAGAGAGTCGGCTTCAAGTGCCCAGGATTCCCTGGGTTAGGGCCATCAGACTTTCTGCTCTTAGCCACGTCAGGTACCTTACCTTGAGCGTATTGTTATTTTGTGTTATTCTTTCTTTGGTTTGATTTGTTTGCATTTTAAGCCACCACTATACAAAACGATGTATTTTAAACAAACATATCTATTTTTTTAATCAATAATTTAGCATTCAGTAAACTTGGTATATGGAATTAGAATTTATAAAAAATTAATTAGCTTTTTATTTTGGGGGGAAGATTTGCCCTGAGCTAACATCTGCTGCCAATCCCCCTCTTTTTGCTGAAGAAAATTTGCCCTGAGCTAACATCTCTGCCCGTCTTCCTCTATTTTATATGTGGGTCTCCTGCCACAGCATGGCGTGATAAGTGATGTGTAGGTCCACAATTGGGATCTGAACCAGCGAACCCCAGGCCGCCTAAGCAGAATGTGCAGACTTTACCACTGTGCCACCGGGCTGGCCCAAAGCCTTTATTTTTAATGCATCTTCCCCCAGCCTCTATTACTTTAAACATCAAAATAATTTTCTAAAATAGTTTTTCCCCCTGCCTGGTCGTTGTGGTATGCCCCAACATTGTGGCTTTTTCCTAAGATAGTATAGTGAAAAAGTCTTGACTAAAACCTAAGGAAAGTCGTTTTCATCACCAGAACACCCAAGAGGAGTTGGCACAGTTTTAAAACAGGAATTCAAGTTACCAGCAGGAAAACAGTTTGGCTGAGAGGATGTATCAGCTGGTAGTCTGCAAAATATGAGAATTTTAATTCGATAATGCCTAAAATCCTTGTGTTTTTACAATGCATTATCAGCTATTTAGAGAAGGATCAATCTATTTCCAATAAAGTTTATTTTTTTTATTTTTAATGACAGACATTCTTACAGTGAGATTCAAAGTCAGTCCTACTGCGTTACCCAAAGTATTCTCCCCTCTGTAAACCACGATGCCGTCTCTTCCAAGTCGCTCCTTCCTTTTGCTACCCGCCTGTGTTTCTTGGCTAAGAGAATAATCATGATTTCACAATGAATGTTTTTAATGAAAATTTGAATAAAAAGCAATATAAGCAAAATGGATTTATCTGGCTATTTTGGGTCTATTTTTCAAAATTTTTTTTAAATTATTACTTTTATTTAGTTATAAATCTAGGTCATAAGATTAAGCCAGAAACGCATTCGAGTTTTCAGGATTCTTTTATAAACTGAAGAGCTGCATTTATTCTTGAGATATGAAGTGCTGTCTCCTGTTTAAATTACATAGATTTAAGTAAAAAATTTAAAATAAAAGTATGGAGATTCAGGAAAAAACCCCAAAAACAACAGCAACAACAAACTAATACACTTCAAACGGTTCAGAAATCCCAAAATACTATAAAAGGTAATACAGAGTCACCTTGAGTTGGAACCTCCTGCAGCCCTAAAAAAGGTGGTTCAAAAATTTATCAAGGAAAAAACAAAAACCTGTCATAGCAAGAAAGTATCTGGAGGGGAAAACAAATGGACTGATTTACATTTAGACAGAAATTTACAGAAGCTGAACATAGCCCGCAGTTTAGAAACTTTGGAAGCGCTGAGTTTAGATGGCTCTTTTCCTTCCTAGTCTGCAGGAAGTCTGTTTGCTGTAGGGCCGAGTTAGGTTCTGTTGATTTTAAGCTCCTGAGGAAAACCACAGACTGCACAATGGGATTCCTTCTGGTCCTGACGAATGGCAGTGTCTGCCTCTTCGGTTCCTGTTTCCTTCCTAGGTTGGTCTCTGGGCCTGTTGTGCATCTCACTCCCACGGCTCTGCTGTGCCTCCTTTGCAGCACTTTCACGTTCCCCCTCCGCATGTCACTCACGCCCCACAGGCTCTTCAGTGTGGTGCGTGACTTCGGCCCTTAATCGGTGCTCGTTGGGCCCATGAATAGTTTCTTCTTCTATTCATCATATTGCTTCTTTCCACTTGTCTCAGGCTCTAATTTCATTTGGAAGCATTATAATACTTAAAAATCTTAATGATACCCATCGTTGTAGAATTCCACTGTTGTTATGGTATTGATCGGCTTCCCAAATTGCAATATTTTCTAAATAACACGTTGGAAATATCTTAGGTCTAGTGTTGTGAGGCAGTCTCATGAGATTAAAATATAGGAATATGAGACGATTATCATTAGTGTTTTTAATTAGTATAGGCAGAACAAAGAGCACCAGGCAACAAGGTTGCCTAGTTTAACTGAGTTTTTGAATAGTAGGTAGATAAAGAAATAGTCCTTAGCAAAAAAGAACGGCTCACTGCTTTTTGTAGGGAGCCGGTGTTCAACTTAAAGAGTGTATATATATATATGACTGGTATGCATAAAATTTCTTCAGCCTCTAACAGAGTTCTATGGGAGGAAAAATTTCCTTCTCTCCATGTTTATAAAAGAATTCAAATAACATTTCATATTTTTTAAGACTTTCTTTTAGCTGTTATTAATTTAGTTCTGAATGTTTCTTCTTTGTACTCTGCTTCTGTGATCTCTGTGTGAAAGTAGGAAAAATAACGCTTTGGAAAACAATTCTTACATTTGTTTTAAGGAGAGAAAATAAGATTCAGCTTCTGATTCATGAAGTGGTGACTAGTGCATTAAGTGGTATATATGAGAAACTGCTAACGTTAAAATGTAAAAGGAATTACATCCATGTTTTATAAAATATACACATGGTTCATTCGAAACCATAGTGTGGCTTTAAAGCGAGTATGCCTTCAGAGGATGAAAGCAATCCATAAAGTGTTTTTAATTTAGCAACTGAAAGATAAAATGTTATAGATGGCTCTGACAGATCGAACCTTGAAAAACAAAGTGACTAAAAGTGGAAAGCTGAATAAATTCAAGTAGAATGAATGAAGATAGGAATTATCAGAATATTATCATGGTAATTATTCTGAGTATTTGACATAATGGATACTGTTAAATTAAACTGTATTTGGGATTCTTTTACTTATGTTACATATACGTTGATTTTTTTAATAGAGGTTAAGAGTGTATGTCCATAAATATATTTCCACAGGATAAATTTTGATGGCAACGTAATGTTCCCTTTTGTGGATGTGCCACAACTTTCCTAATCAGTTCTCTGTTGTTGCAACTGTTTGCTTCTATAGGTAGCACTGCGTACGTCTCTAATTGTTTTTAAAGGACAGAATACTGGAAGTGAAATTGCTGGGAGGAAGTACCAGCCAAAGCATGTATGAAACTGGTTTAACTTGGAGTATATGATCTTAACAAAAGAATTAACTTCTAACATTCATACAGTCTATTAGAGCATACAAAGCATATTTACATAAATTAGTACTTAAATTTGCGGTAGGTGGCATTTTTATTTCTATTTGTAAAACATTTTGTAAAACATTGAATTACTCTTTTTAAAAGCAAAATTTTAAAAAATTATGCAAACTATTTTCATTGAAGATCAGTGAGAAAATATACGTAAGTGAAAAATAACAATTTTTATTTTATGTTTCCCTTGTGCCAGGCACTGTCCTATATGTTAGAATTATAGCAGAGGGGCCGGCCCCGCAGCCGAGAGGTTAAGTTCGCAAGCTCCGCTGCGGTGGCCCAGGGTTTCGCTGGTTCAGATCCTGGGCGTGGACACGGCACCGCTCATCAGGCCACATTGAGGCAGCATCCCATATGCCACAACTAGAAGGACCTGCAGCTAAGATATACAACTATGTACCAGGGGGGATTTGGGGAGATAAAGCAGAAAAAAAAGAAAAAGGAATTATAGCAGAGAACAAACAAAAATGCCTGCCCTCATAGTGCTTATATCTCGCCACTTAAATAGGTCCACTTCGTAACATTTGATTTATATTATTATAGACTTTTCACACACACACACCCCTTCAGATATATATTAATTTCTCACAGAAATGATTTATATAATGCAGAGAGTTTCTGTGTATTTTTCGTATAATAGTATATCATGAACATGCTTCCCTGTCGGTATTTGCTATAGCATGATTTTAAGAGTTGTATAGAAATATCCCGTTAGTCATTTAATCACTTTCTCCTTTGACATTTTAGGATTTCCAGTCTTTTGCCCACATGAATAATACGGAGCTGAAATTCTTGTAGCTAAATCTTTGAATATGTCCTTAACTATTTCTTTAGATGGATTCTTAAAATTGTGTGATTGTGTTAAAAGATAAGTAGTTTTCAAAATAAAAAGTTAAAAAAAAAACATGCATTTTGGGGCCAGCCCAGTGGCGCAGCACTTAAGTTCGCAGGTTCCACTTCAGCGGCCCGGGGTTCGCCTGTTTGGATCCTGGGTGCAGACCTATGTACCACTTATCAGGCCTTGCTGTGGCAGGCTTCCCACATATAAAGTAGAGGCAGATGGGCACAGATGTGAGCTCAAGGCTAATCTTCCTCAAGAAAAAAAAAAAAAAGCATTTTAAGTACAGCTAAATTTTTTCCCAGAAAGTCTTTGTTTTAAATTACCTTATACTTCATTTGGCAACGTGGGAAAGTACTCATCACCAACACTGCGTGTTAGAAAATGCTGGGTTTATAGGTGACCTTAGATGTGTCGTTTTAGTTCAAGTTGTTTTGATTACGTAGGAGTTAGAGTTGTTTTTTGTTTGGGGACACTTTTTTAATACTTATGTGCCATTTGTGTTTGCCACTGAGTTTTGCCCATTTTGCTGTTGAGCTCTTGCCTTTGTCTAGGAGGTCTTGATGTATGTAGATTGGATCATTAACTCTTTGTCATGTATGTTTCAAATATTGTCT